ATTCGGTACGTTTTCGTTTCACACTAAAATAAAATTTAATTTACTGCTCAAATGTTAATAACTTTGGTACTTATGTACTTTACACAGAGTACGACTGTAGCGTCGTCCTTTTCTTATATACATAGTATAAAAAGAAGCCGCTTCCTGCTCTCTGTACGCTGATATCTTTAAAACTACAAAATGAGGTTTTCATCGATATAAAGACAATGACTCAAAAGGAAAATTTATACGTAATACAATACCACGTGGGCGTAGGCGCTGGCGAAAAGTTATGTATAAAACATAGAGCTATAAATCTGACGACAGTATAATAAAAAATATTTTTTATTCAAATCTATTGAGTTGTGTGAAAATTTATAAACAGTTATTCTGCTGCATAAACTAAACTTAATTTAGTACCGTAAAATCAGTAAAAGTATAGTATAATATCTGAGTTAGTGTTTTCAGCTTCAGTCGAAGTTTTAAAGAATAACCCATAATGTTAGATTAGTAGCATCTACAAACCTACCAAAATGTATAACAAACTAATCTTTAATTATATTTACATATGACTCGAAATTGATATGCGCATGTGACGACTCAGCCTGAAATATACGCACACCATTTCCTTTATTTAAAGCATTGTAATTATAAGTACTTTTGTAAAACCATACTAGTCATACAAGTATATTACATGTCTAATTATACATGCACAACTATTTATATATAGACTGAGATCGATTTGTCAAAAAGGTTTACAATTATTAGTATCAAGTTACAAACTCGTGAGAAAAATGTGTAAGAGTTTTTTGAAACGGTTTATAATTCAATGTGTGGAATTGACTATACACGTTTATAATAAATATCCAAACGATATTAAGAGTATTAATAAAGTTATTAAGTTTAATGTTATTTAGTAATAACTCACTAATTGTTCAATTTTCAACCGTTGTCGCCGTCTCTTGTTATTCTGCCGTTCCGACAGTTTTAACTAATGCGACGCACATTTTTTTATAATTATAATTAATTTATAGCATGTCACCTATGTCTTTTCATTCATGCATGCCTGATACACTATAATAAGTAACATACTTTTACTACTTCCACAAATTGAAGTATTAACTATTACAAAACTATTGCATATTTTGGTCACGAGCTTCGTCATTGTATAATCAGCGTCATAATCATCGAATCGTCGAAGGTGGTCAAAAAGATATGAAACTGATTGTACCGCTATTTGCCAATTTTATGTGTACAACACAATACAATGGTTTACATGACCGAATTTTGAAAAAAATACGATATCAATATATCAAGCCCCAAACATTCACAGCACTTCATTCTTTATGCTACCACAATGCTTTGAAGTTACTAAAGTAATTTAAATAGTATATTGCCAAATATATTGTAAGGTGTAGCGTAATCATTACTACATTGAGTTAAGATGGTTGTGGTCTATGGTCTACCGCCATCTTAGGAGTAATGTGGAGCCTTAAACAAGCTTTCTGGTAGAATAAAATTGTTAATACTTTTATAAATTAAAAAATTTACGAGTAAATACTATTATTTCGTACGACGTATTATCATTTTAGACAACCACTTCATGGTGTGAGGTGACGAATAAAGTCAACAAAAGTCACGAAATGGCGCAAACCACGTAATTAAGATTACCAGAACAAGTTAATTTGCAATATCCTAATTTAGCAATAGAATGGGAAAGAGTTTGAAATATATTTTCAAACAGCCGGTATTAAACAAGAGGACAATTATAAAACAAAGATTGTATAGTTATTGAACTTGATGGGTCGCGAGTACTTGGATATATTTAAAAGTTTCACATTGGCAAAAGGCAACAAGTTAAAAGACCACGTAGAAAAATTTGAACAATGCTTTTGGCCGAATCCAACATTATATATGAGATTTCGATTCAACCAGATAATTCAAAAAAATTGACAATACTTCGAAGTTTAGCTCAAAAAATGAAAACAAAAACCTGTGGTTACAATAATACCGATGAAATGATAAGAGATCGGATTGTAATTGGCTTAAATGGTATATCCCAATTAACATTGGAAATGGCTGCTCAGTTCTGTAAAACAGCAGAATCGACTGCTATCCAGCTATAACAGATCATCAAACTATAGATGCGGTTGAGAAGAAAACTCCTTTGATTGACTGCTGCCAATGTGGTTTAAAACATATTTCCAATAAATGTCCTGCTTATAGCAAAAATGTAGCAAAAATAATCATTTTGCCAAGACGTGCAAGACTCGAACACATATCAACATTAAATATATTCATGAAGTAACACAAGATGATAATGAACAAGATAAAAACGCTGGATCAAAGCTTTAAGTGAGCATAGAGAAGCTTACAATTGATTTTAAAATCGATACTGGTGCAGAGTCATGTATATTGCCGTTAAGTATTTTTAAGAATATAAATTCACCGCTTCAGAGTACAAACACTATCTTAGTTGACTATAGTGGACAAGAAATTAAACCATTGGATATAGTCAAACTTCCGTGTACATTGGACTATAAAACTCATCTGATTGAGTTATTTGAAGTTGATATTAGAGCTAAGCCACTTTTGGGATTTAATACCACTGTAAAGATGGGAATTAGACAGAATACTGATACAGTAACCACTGAAATATTCAAAAGGAAGGACGACATTTGCAAAAAATACAGAAATTAGTTTGAAGGACTTGGTAAAAATCCAAAAACCTACACTATTAAGGTATATGACAATGTTATCCCTACAATACAACCCTTGAAAACTGTACCTTAGATAGATCATGATAAACTTAATAAATCAGATAACGTGGAAAAACAAGAAACTGTACAGAAAGATGCTAGACCAACAGATTGAGTAAATTCCATGGTAAAAGTTACAAAAATAAAATGGACGTTTGAGAGTATGCATTGACCCTACAAGATTAAATAATGCCATCAAGAGAGAACACTTCCAAATCAACATCATACAATATTGCAGCCAAGCTATCTGGCATGAAATATATTCTGTTTTAGATATGGAGAATGGCTACCTAAAGGTAAAATTACATGAGAGCTGCTTAGAGTTAACATGAGAATAAATTCTGAAATCTTTGTATTATTGGAATCTTTATTTGTGGTAGATCTAAGTTTTAACATTTACTTATCATGTTACAAAGAGCTCAGGGAAATAACATTAAATTTAATGTAAATAAAATGCAGTTCCGACAAACATCGGCTAAATATATGGGGTCAAATATTTTCTGAAAATAGAATCGGCCCTGACGATAATTTTGCTGAGGCGATTTTGATTTTCCATACAGTCAGAACAAAACTGGGCTGATGCATGTTTAAGGTAAAGCTGAATTTTTGTCTAAATTTATTCCTAATATGTCAAAAACAACATTTTCTTCAAAACAACTAACATGTAATAACTGGACTGGACTTAGTCATCAATTCATGAAAATTCATTAAAAAGCTTAAAAAATGCCACAGTGAACGCTCTTGTAAAGTAATATTAAATGCCACAGTAAAGTTAGCATACTTTTATAGTAATAAACAAATTATAATGATGATCCTAGGAAAGACTTTTTACCTAGCATCCGCCTCTAGGAGTATGACTGAAATAGAGGAACTATATGCTCAAATTGAAAAAGAGCTCCTAGCCATTTGCTTTGCTATTGATAAAGTTAAGATTTTTTGTAGCTACTAAATATTCACGTTATTTGGGTGGAGGGGAGCGTAGTCTTAAACTTCACCATGTATGGTTATACAAGGGGAAGGGGGGGCTAAAAATGTTGAAAAAACATCACGTGATTAATAGACGGGCCCTAGTTCTAGGTAAGGGAAATTCATGGTTCAACCAAACAAATTCATGGTTCATGGACTATCCGAAAAACTGCCACTTTCCGATTCCCGGAAATAACAATTTAGAGACCTTTTTGCCAAATATTGTGATTTGACAAGCGAACATGCACGCTCTAAACCCTCTCAAGGATTATATTAGAAATAGAATACAACTTCGTCACCCCACTAGGTTCCTTTAATGAAAACCTTAAGAGGGAAGACGTAAGGTGTGGTGTAGTCATTAATACATAGAGTTAAGATAGTTGTGGTCTGCCGCCATCTTAAGAGTTATGTTGAGCCATAAACAAGCATTCTGGTAGAATAAAAAAATATTAATACCATTATAAGTTAAGAAATATAAGTTCTATTATTTCATAATACGTGTTATCATTTACGACAACCACTTCATATATATATTATATGATATAAAATATTTATGTTAAATATTTTTTTACTTTTAAACAGTATGTTTTTTCAATTTAGTAATTATAAAATATAATTACACATTTTTTTTTATCGACGAAAAATAACGTCGTTAAAGATGGAAATTTCATTCCGGAAAAATAAATCGGTCATGCTTACACAAAACATAAGTATAACACTATTGCATATAAAGTTTTTATGTTCAAAATACCTAGGTATATTCAATGATTTCATCATTTATACGAAATTGCATTTTACATATTGCAATTAAATAACACAAAACCTGAAATTAACTTATTCAGTATGACGAGTACAGTCGACAACATGCCAGCAGTGCTATCCTATAATTTAATCAGCCTCGAATAAGTTTAATTTGAAGGTAATTTTTCAATAAACATAAAAGGTATTTTCCAATAAATTTTAAGCGAATCCTGTCAACAGGAAAAGCTTTACAAAGTTGTTCTGTTAACATAACTGAACTGAACTATTAAATAGAAGAAACTTCTATATGACTATAATTTAAGCAATATATATATGTTAAATCATTTGTGCGTTCTTCACGCAAAATTATAATATACATAGAGATTATGCGTTAATTCAACTGCACAAAGCCAATTTCAACTTTCGTCCGAACAAAAACATCACATTTCATACTATATTACAACAGTCCACCATACAGACCCTAGCGTTTGTACTAAAGTACACAACATACTTCACATCAACACTTAACACTAAAAAGTATATTTACAATGAAAATTATGAGGCACGTCTCTTCAACGTCACTTTACCTCGAGCTAACTGAGATATGTATATCCTAAAACGCTCCATGTTGGGCCGTTTTACCCATATCTGAAACAATAATGCGCATACAATTAGAAATTTAAAATTATTCCACTAACTACATAGATTTCTCCTGTGAGAACCATAAAAACTAAGATAATTTCGAAAACAGATCAAGTAGTGACCAAGACCGTAGATTTTGTGGGACCTTCAGCAACATTTAACTATTGACCTTGATGTATGAAAATCCTATTATATACAATGTATGAACTACTTATTCTATTGCTACTATTATACTATTTATATTCTGTCATCTGTATACTTGATACTGAATCTACTTACAGCGTAGACACGAGGATTTACGAGACTTTAGTGACAACATCCGACTTTTGACCGATATATCAAAAATTATGTTATTGCCATTATTGTTAAAATATTATGTTATCATTATAAGACCATAGATTTTCTTTTCTATCTATTTATAATGGTAATAATATGGTTTTTGTGAAAGTTCGAAAATTACTCCTATTAGAGCTGATGAGGTTTTTTCTCGTTCTTCATATCAGCCAAAAGACGACCTGAACAAATGGTAGGGGAAAAATGTTGGACGAATCAAAAGTACTTTTAAGAAGTCTATTTGAATAAAGATTATTTTGACTTTGACTAAATTAATACATGAGAGATTTTTTTTATATATTTTTTAAATATATTTCAAGTAAATCGTCTACACCCGTATTAGAGTTTTATATAAATAATATATATAATCATATTAGACATAAATGTATACACATAATTATCTGGCAATCTTATTAGCAATGGAACAGTTAACTCACCGCCTCGTCGGTGATGGCGTGTATGTGTCCGGGGAAGCGCGGCACATCACGCCCTTCAACGTACACGCTCTGTCCGCGGTGAAACCACCGCCGCTCGAATAACAACTTGCCGTCCTCCACACGAGTGTCCACTGTCTCACCGCTATCCCGCACCGGAGAATCACCTATAAATAAATGTCATAAATGTACTTAACTGCTCCAAGAATTCAGAAGAAATTGCCAATTTGTGTTGTTTAATAAAATTACATAATATATAATAGAACTGAGATTAAACAATTTTTATGCTATGTCTAATATGTATAAAATACTAGCTTTTGTCCGCAACTTAGTCTGCGTGGAGTTAGAATTTCCAGTAGCCTATTTTTAACGAGGTTTCATCGAACTGCATTCTTTTTAAAATATTGTAAAAACTAATCAGTTAATAAGAGATTTATGATAATTTCGAAAAATTATTTCTTAGTACACTTTTATGTAATAACATGAATGTCGCTTTGAATAACATAAAAATAATACTTATATTAAACAAATTTATTATCGATTTAAAGATTACTAAAATTCAACTACTTTCATTTGAAACTTAAGTCTAAAAGTGCCGAGTTTAGTGCTGTTAAAAAATATAAACAGTAGTGATTTGAACCAGAAAATAAGATAAATCGGCTTATAAATAATCAAATTTAAAGTGGTAATGTTATCATTTTGCTTTAACATAAAACAATTAAAACAAAAAATTATAAAAGTGCTAACAGTGACAATAAACAGTGTTAATAAGTGAAATACAAACAATCAATTTATAGTGTTAGCAAACTGACTTTATTGAAAAAATAATAAAAACACAATAAAATAGAAATAATTAAAAAGTGTGCAAAAAAATCTTTTAGCATGAATCATAATAACGACATTCGTATGATTTAAAATCAGTATACTAAGATTGTGATCGATAAATTGACCATCACAACTATGTGCTAAGTAGCTACAACGGAAGCGCCTGAAACCGCTTGGTATAGAACTCAAAGAGACACGGATCAAACCTCCGCAGCGGACGGTTTTTGGTGTTGAAATATTATAAGGGTGGCTTGCGCATCGTCGGTAAATACAGTTTAAGAGCGACTTAAACGCTTTTACAGACAGTTGCACAAACTTCCATTAAAATTTTCATTACTTTAAAGTGACATTACCCATACAAATTGACATTCATTAGAGTTTTAAAGCGTCATCGAACCTTAATGAACGTTTGTGCAACTGACTGTTTGTCTGCTAATTATAATTAGCGTCTTGCACAACAAAAATTTAGGCACTAATCACGTTTAACGAACTGTCAAAGTTAAATACCCAAAGATGGCTATTTAGCGTCGCTAAATACGTTTAGTAGCAATCACGCGTCATCATTTTGAGGTTATAGAAATTTTACTGTTATTTTATAAAAGATTTTAAAGAGTTCGTTAGGAAGTTTGTAACATGGATTTGTGGGTTTTGTATTCTGACGACGATGAGGAGATTATAGAATATATCAACAGACCGAGGGAATTGTTTGAGAGAGCAGACTTATTAGGAATGTATTCGGACGACAAATTCTTCAGAAGGTTTCGTCTAACGAAAGAAACCGCTATAATTTTGTTCCAGCAAATAGCCCCACATTTACATATCACACAATTTGTGTGACTTGACAATTCGGTTGACTTAATGTCGGTTGAAAGCTCGTCGGTCCTTTTCACGCATTTTTTTTTTTAAGAAATGCAACCATTTTGCTCTAAGTCAAGTGTTCAACGCACGAAAACGTAAAAATGAACGCAAGAAATTGCTTTACCAACTCCCTAACTACGATTAGTTAAATTACCATCCAAACGGACGTGAGCAAGACTTTTTAATTGTATTTAGGCTAAACATATTTTGCAAGATAAACACATTTAACTAAATTCTGTTTAGACCAAATGTTGCGCAAGCCGCCCTAAGTCTCATTAGGCTTGATTTAACATTGTAGCTAGAGTGAAGACAAATATCATGAAGAGAAAAAAAAAGTCAAATTTGTTGATACTAAAACCGTTTGAAAATTCAAAACTTAAACTAAGACAGCTGATTCTTATTAACCTACAATATATTGACATTTTATTGCCTCGGTGCTGCCATCTAACATCGAGTCTGTAGTTAAGTATCGTTTATCTATCTCTTGTTATCATAACAGCCGTAAGATGGAGCAATTTTTTAAAATGCGCTTATTGTAATGATCCATACCATTTGGACTGTACAAGTGTATCCACGAAGAGGTTTTAACTTATGTCCAATGAAAACAAATCAAACTGAAAATGCGACAAATGCTGGTCTACACAAGGCACCAGTTAGGAGATTAATTTTTCAACTAATAACTCATTTGAATCCTTATCTGATGAAGAAAGCACGGATTTTACCTCTATATCGCACAACAGTACTTTGCATGGATATTGTTTGGATGTTGGTAGATTTAATATGGAACAAAGAATACACGAATTGGAGAAACAAAACAGAGATTTACAAGAAAAACTACAAATTGCTGAGACGGAAATTGAATACATATTATTAGAAAAGGCAAATTTAAAGAAAAGTCTTTCAGAACAGGAGGATTTATCAAAAAAATACACAATATGTAATTCTAGCCCTAAAGATAATACAACTTTTAGAAAAAAGAAAAAAAAAACCTCCAATGTCCAATTGCTCCATTAATGAGAGTCCAATTGCTCCATTAATGAGAGTATGAGAGTATAATTGCGCCATCTAGTGACAGACATGGAACCTGCTCACAATTATTTACCTCTGATCAACACGACGTTACCAACGTCACAATTTCTATGTATCAACTCCACCTTCGAATTTAGAAGGAAATATCTCTATGGAGGAACAATCACACTACACAAAACCTACCATCTATTTCATTGGCGATGAACAAGTCAAAGGATTAGCAGAACAACTAAAAAAGAAACGGTCTGGAAAATGGAATGGTTGTTACAACATCAGCAGTATAACAAAGCCGTACGCGCCGAGTACGCAAATCGTGAATAGTGTCTTATCGATACAGGACATTTTGAAAAAGGACGACGTTTTGATCTTATCTTTCGGAACTAACGAGAATTACCCATACACAGTTATAGCAAATTTATGGAACACCTTGAGTAACTTAAAGTGTTGTGTTTTTCTTAAGTGTACGACGTAATAACTATTTCAATGTTCGTAAATTAAATACCAAAATTAATTTAATACTACAAAATTATAAAAAAATTAAATACATAAGCATTGATCAACCCATTAGTATTGACTATGCATATCAAAATAAATTACAAATAAACAAACTCGGCTTTAAAATAAATATAAAAATAGTTTTTTTAAGATATGAAAGCGAGTACATTAAAAATTTGATGAAATTAACAAATGAATTTATAAAATCCAAATTAATGTGTATAAGCAAACAAAATTCACAGGCCACAAAACAGAAGAAAAGGAGTAATTCCATTGTATATAAAAAACAATACCATATTATTTTAAGATAAAGGAAACGGCCAGCAAATCAAAGCCAGAGTTTTTTCGAGCCCGAATCACATGATTGATGAGTTTTTCATCAAAATATCCAGGGATTACTATCAAAAAAAGGAATCATGGAAATTACATTAATGGAGATTAATTATAAATTATGTCCTGGTGTACTATGCTTCACTGAGACTTTTGTAAAAAACGGGGAAAAAAATATAAACATCAATAATTATGAATTGGCATCACATTATTCTAGGAACAAAAGTAGGGGTGGTTCCTGTATTATGGTGAAGAGCTGAATAACTTTTAAAAAAATACTCACATTTGATAACTATCTCGGTAACTTTCATTTTGAGGCGTGTTCAATAAGTATACCTATACATAACCTACTAATTGTTTGTGTATAAAGATCATCAACTGCGACTAAAAAGAGACACTTCGAATATTTTTTTGATAGATTGGAACTGTTACTGAATACCTATTTACATAAATTCAAAAAACAGAGAATAATAATAACAGGACATATTAATATCAACACAATTAAAAATAGTAAAGTTATTAAACAGTTTATAGACATCCTAAAAAAAATATAATTTAAAACAGCATATAACTGATCCCACTAGAGGAGAGTCATGCTTAGATCATATAATCAGTAACGTAAGTGGTGCATTGGGATTTCTACTTCCATTTTACTACTTATCTGATCACAACACAGCACAGATTTTGAGTCTTAATACTAAGTTAAAACAGATTATACCAACATCAATTTATATATTTAAAAGATGTTATTCGAATGAAAATGTTATAAAATTTAATAATCACTTTTCTAGTCTATCTTTCCTGGAAATACATAGCAATACCCAATATAGCATTTAATATATTTTATGATTGGTTCTATTTGCTTTACCGGCTTTGTTGTAAAATTAAAAATTAGTACAAGTTCTAATCTGCGATGGATTTCTAAAGGAATCAAGAAAAGTTGTCAGATAAATAGAAAACTAAGACATAAGTATTATAAAAAAAGAACTATTACAACAAACACAAATATCACGAAAATTCTAGAACATTGAAAAAAAATTTTTTAAGAGCATTTTATTAGCTAAAAAAATACGAATAAGAAGTTTGTATTAAAAAGTAAAAATGTATCAAAAGCCACATGGAAAGTTACACAAACTGAAATTGATATGAGACATCATAATAATTATATTGAAAAAATTGAATTTAATGGTAATAACGCTACCTCCGGAGAATAATATGACAAAAACGATTGTTATGTTTTTAGTGTTATAGCATTTTTGAGCTTCTCGTGGTCCAATACACATTGTAAATTTTTTCCAGATATTTCCTACGAGTATTTGCAAAGATACAAAATATTAGCATAATATTCAACGAATTCAATGTTATAGTTTATGCCTAGAACAACAATATTTAATACATTAGCAATATAAATATAACTGTTTAGGCAGACATTGTTACTTTATCATGTTATTCGCGTAAGAAAATCAGGCGCTTGTATTGATATATGCTATTAGCATGGTATTCTTGTACAAACACAACACTTTAGATAGGTTTCTCCACCGGTTTGTAAAAAGTTTTCTTTAAGTAAGTAATAATTTTTTTTAGTTATGTATGGTGGGCTGAATTATTACATGATCACGAACAAGAACAAGCTTGTTACCAAGATGATAACTATTCAGACCAAGAAACACCCGAATGCCAGAATAACAAACAAGAAACTTCTCGAAGTTCAAATAACGATCGTGTATCACGTAGACCTTTATCCTGTGACCATGTTCTTCAAAATAATTCTTCATTGAACATAAATGACAATCAATCAAATCCATCGACTTCAACGAGCATCAATAGATGGACAAGTGAAAATGACATAAAAAATAATTCTCATAACTCGAATTCTCGAAAAAAGATGAGTAGAAAAATAAAAAGACATCCTACAACATGAAATGACAGAGTAAATAAGACACTAAGAATTCTGGGAAGAAATATATTGGATGCAGAAATAAAAAAGAGTTTCCTGAAAAAACAATGATTACTACTGGATGTTCATGCAGAAAAAATTGTGGTAATTTAATATCAGGAAAGAGAAGAGATCTTTAAATCGTATTATAAACTAGGAGATCGTGAACGACAATGACAATTTATAGTGCAACACACTTCAGCAGAACCTATAAAACGTATATAATAATAATAATAAGTACAAAGTATGTAGACTATTTTTCAAAAATACATTAAATGTAACACATCAGACTATATATACTGCTTTAGAAAAGCTCAATCTGCAGATGGTTTTCATGACCAAAGAGGACGTCATAAAAATAGACCGCGGCGCATGACTACGTATACTGAAGAAAGTATAAAGAAACATATTGAACTATTCCCCACAACTGAATCACATTATGTCAGAGAAAAATCCCAAAAACTGTACCTTTCAACACACTTAAATATTTCTAGCGCAAAGCTGAAATTAAATATCACGCATAGATTCTTTGAAACTGGACACCGGCAAAGTGAGGCTGACAGTATGCACTCTTGCGTAGAAAGAGAAATCAAAAATAAAATGATATACACCCCAGACCAAATGTATACTTTAATTCAAAATGCAAAGGCTACCGGCAATAAATGTATAGTTAAAGAAATGGAACAGTACAATTTCTATGACATTAAAGTTCTTGTTGCGGGAAAACATTGGGTGCGAGACATACAAGGCAATAAAATTTTATGGTCTAAAGTGATGAAAGTTAAGGTGTCTTAACACCTTAACTTTCATCACTAAGCGTAGCGTAGCGTATAAGTATCTATAAGTATGCACTAAGCGTAGCGTAGCGTATAAGTATCTATAAGTATACACTAAGCGTAGCGTAGCGTATAAGTATCTATAAGTATACACTAAGCGTAGCGTAGCGTATAAGTATGTATAAGTATGATTTTGATAATGATTATTCCATTTTAAACACAGAAGTTTTATCAATAGTTATGGGACGAGTCGGCCGTGGTCGAAAAACTGCAGCAGCTTCGACTGCAATTGATGATGTTGAAGACTTAAAATGTGCTAACAGTAAACTGATTCCAATTACTAAAGCTTTATACAACGATTTAAAGAGTTTGTGTTCATGTGAGGCTATATCTCGGCATTATCATTCATTCTATACGTCTTTGATATCGACAGATCAAGAAGTATTATCATCAGAAGAGGAGGACGAATTACCCTAGTTATAAAAGTCCCATAGTTTGATTCCCATGATGAGTCTCATGATGATTGATCCAATTATAATTAATAAATCATAGTTTGATAATTTTCTTTTTAATTTAGAAATTTTTGTTTTTAGTTTGTTTGTTTTTTTAATTTAGAAGTTTTTGTTTTATGTTCATTAAAAGATTATTATTAGCCCTGGATATTATTTTAAAATTACCCTGAATAACATTCTAATCGACTATAAGCACATACTCTCTCTCAGGTTATTTTACCAGAACAACATGACAATAGTTTATTATTGTAAAACATTATAGGTGTGATTTTACTAGAATAACATGACAATAGCGTATTATTTTAAAACATTTTAGGAGTGATTTTTGCTAATATTTATGTTTGCGATTCTTGTCAGTGGTTTTGCACGAAACATAATTCACATCGTTACGCAAAAAAAATTAGCTTTCATTTGATATATCATTCTTCGGGATAGCATTTCAAACAAAAGAGTTATTAAACAAAATCGGTTTTTTATTTTTCCTGAACATTTTGGTTTTTGCAGTTATCATATTATTCTCCGGAGGTAGCGATATTATTAATGATCCTTCAAATATTTCAGGCATTTTTAATAATCATTTTATAAATTTAACCAATAATTTTGATAATAATAATTATGAAATTAATAATGCAATTAAATACTCAAATGACATATTAAATAATTCAATCTTTCTTACTCCCATTGACGAATGCTATGTTGAAAAAGTTATAATGATATTAAATAATACAAAATCAGAGGGCTATGATAATATATGTACATATGTGATAAAAATATGTAAAGAACAAATTAGCCCTATTTTATCATTTTTGATAAATTTGTCAATGGAAACCTTTTTGTAATTTTTTTTTAATTAATTAAAACACTCTATTGTCAAACCTTTATATAAGAAAGGCGATAAAACTATTTTAAAAAATTATCGACCCATTACACTGATACCAGTTTTATCAAAGATACATGAAAAAGTTATACATAGCAAACTACCATCGATTTTTTAATAAATATAATGTGCTAAAAAATAATCAACATGGCTTTCAAAAAAATAAGTCGACTAGACTTGCGGCCTTTGACTTAACGAAATATTACAAAGCATTAACAAAAGCAAATATACGACAGCTCTTTTCTTTGATATGTCAAAGCTATCGATTTCGTTTCTCATGAACAACTACTAAAAAAAATATATAACAATGGTATCAGAGGTACAGCTTTAAATTAGATTAGAACATATTTACAAAATAGAATGGAATCTGTTGAAATAACTAAATTAGATTCAAAGGGCATAAAATCGAAAGTATCAATCAGAATTAAAAGTCAAAAAAACATTGGAGTTCCACAAGGCAGTGTTCTTGGACCTCTTTTATTTTTGGTGTATATTAACGACCTACCAAATGAAACTACACATTACATTTTATTTGCTGATGATATATCAGTGGTAGTGACGACTTATAATAATATGAAAATTTCTGACCACGAAAACGACATAAATAATACAATAATGACCATAATAAACTGGCTTAAATTCCATAATCTGACAATAAATATAGACAAGACATATTTTATGAATTTTAATAATTTCTAATAACTCGATTATTAAATACCAAAAATGCACACTTAAAGAAGCTGATAACGTTAGATTCTTAGGCATAATTGACAAGAAACTAGATTGGAAACAACATGCAGAAATCGTTTGTAATAAGATAAATAGCTTCTCATTTGCATTATTTAAATTATCGAGAGTAGGGACAAGAAGTACGGCTCTCACGGCATACTTCGCTTCACCAGCCCTTTTACGTCCCCACTGCAGGGGCTCAGGCCTTCCTTATGGATGGTTAAGGAGGATGGGCTATAACCCTCCACGCTGGCCCAATGCGGATTGGAGGGTATATTAACGACTGCAAATGCAGCCGGGACCAACGGCTTAACGTGCCTTCCGAAGCACGGAGTAGCTCGAGATAATAATTTTTGGTCACCCATCCCGTGACCGACCCTTGCGAAAGTTGCTTAACGACAACGATCGCGGGCCGCGGCGTTTATCCACTACACCACCGAGCTACTCATACTTCGCTTATGTCGAGTCGATTTTACGTTATGCAATTATTATTTGAGGCAATGGTACAAATGCGCAAAGGGTATTCATTGCCCAGAAAAAATGCATAAGATCCATATGTGGTATCGCTCCCGACGTCTCATGTAAGCAATGAAATGAAATAAAATGAAATGAAATGAAATGAAATGAAATGAAAATATCTTTATTCAAGTAGGCTACTACAAGCACTTTTGAATCGTCCAAAAAAAGTTTTTTTTCCCCTACCACAAGCAAGAACAAGCGAAAGAAACTTACCAGCTTTTTATCATAAGTAATGACATTTACATAAATCATGTCATTACCAAAATAATATGTATTATCACAATAATAAATACAACTTTCAAAGTCTGTAGGACATAGGTTGAACATATAATTAATCTTTATAGAACAAAGCGAAGGCTATCAATTCCATGCATTGCGATCCTTAAAATAATCATCAACTAATGGTTTAAATTTCTTGGTATTTTACCTCTTCCTTGCTTATATATATTTGAAGCAGCGAATTTTGCCAAACGATTATTGATATGAAGCCTGATTATTACAAAATAGCTCATGAAGTGTATCCCAAGAACACTAGAAATAAAAATAGGCTAGTTCTTGACATAGTCCCAAAAAGCGCGCGATTTAAAAATAACTGCTACTATATGTGTCAAACAATATTTAATAAGATTCCGGAATCTATAAAGAATACACCTTTTACTAGATTTAAGAGAGAGTTATATGACTGGCTTGCTGAGCGTTCCTTTTATTTGTTGCATGAGTTCTTAGACTTTAAAAACTGAACTTAGACTATAGAAGCCTGGGTGGATTAATCAGTGCTCATATTATCTTCTTTTACTACGTTTGCATGCTAATGTCTATGGCTGAATAAGCGATAATTGTATTACCTTTTACATCTCTTTTGTATACCCTATTCAAACGCATATAAATTATTATTATTTAGAATTATTAGAATTATTATATTATTATTATTATCATCGTTATTATTATTATACTGTTAAGAGGCGTAAAAACGAGAAGGCATGTATAAAAATAATTGTGAACGTCAAAGAAGCAAAAGACGTATGTAAAGACCAAGCTTCGCGACGGCTTGACGTGAAGACTAATGAAAATGAATATATTTTGTAGTCCAATAAACTTCTTACAAGTACTTTGGAATTATCTAAAAAATTTTTATTGCTACTTTCGGTTTCAGGACTTCTTTTGGCTGACAAAACGAACGAGAGAAAAAAAACTTATCGGCACTCTTAAAAGCAGGAACAACATTTACATATATCTTGTCATTATGAAAACAATATAGAAATTACAATAATAATTTAGATAAGTATTATTTCAATATTTTAATCTATCATACCCGGTTAAGATACAAAAATATTTTGGAACCCTTTATAAATATATAGTACTGTATTTTAAGACAACCTACGAAAAATACATTTCCCTATCGCTTGGCATCTTAATACACTTAATATGAAAATATTAGATTATGTGTGTTGGACCATTGGATTGAATAACGAGCGACATTTCATCTCAAGATATCACAGTCACCATCTATTAGCTTTAGTCTATAACTCAGAAAGTAGGAGACGACTCACAGCTGTTGGTGGAGTTGTGATGCTTGCGCGGCGTGTTGTGGTTGGTGTTGTGGTGGGCGTGATGGTGGTGGTGGTGCGCGGGATGGGTGGGCGGCGAGTGGCGGGCGATGGCGCGCAGGTCCGCGTCCACTTCGCGCTCGTCCAGCTGGTACGTGAGCGTGGTCGCCAGCGGCTTGCGGCGCTTCTCGGGCGCGGGGGCCGGCTCGTTCGCCCGCCGACGCAGTATACGCTTCATCACTGGCTTCACCTGGCCACAAGATCACAAGGTTTTCATCACTTCACAAATTCCATTATGTTGGTCTTTTAAACGTTCGCGTTGCATTATATTAGATCGTATAAGACGGGTGTTAACGCGATAAAATTTCGATAGTATATATATAATAATTTTCACCTACCTATATTTCACTCATTGCAGAAACAGTCAGCCCGTAACCATTGCCGGTGTAACCTGATCGAAACGTCGGGAAATATAGGTAGGTGAAAAACCTAACTATCGAAATTTTATCGCGTTAATATCCGTCTTATACAATCTAATATTATGTTCATCCCTGTAAATCGCAGACGCAATTCTTTTCTTTATTATTAAATGCCCCATGGTTTGTAACAAATACCAAAATCTATAAATATTTTGCAGGTAAGGCAAGATTATCAATATGAATAAAATGATTTCAATATGAATAAAATGATTTCAATATGAATAAAATAATGTATAATAATGGAAAGCTCCATTGATGGGTATTGAAGCCCCCTGTCAAACTGATAACATTTTTTTTTTTAAAAAGCTGTTAGGCTGATCGCAAATGTAAATAGAGCCAGAAAAAATAACATTCGATGTAATGAGCAGTGGTCGGAATTAGGTAGAGTTATTCATGTACTTACACTGATTTCATACAGAGAAAGAATAAAGTAGATATGCCTCAAATCCCGAAATTAATTTTAAAGAGCAGAAAAAATCCCGTTTTAAATAAATAATTAAAATAATTTTTTAAATAAAATGTTATTTACTTTTACACAATTTAAACTACTGCACGCACGACGTTGCCAGCTTACATCAATGAAAGATAGAAATAAAGAAATCCCGGGAAGTTCCACATTAATATCAACATTTCGATACAAGTACATAAATAACTCTACTTAATTCCGACCTCTGGTAATGAGTGAAGAGGTTTCTATAGATTGTATAGAATAATAGGGTAGTTTTGGTAGTGAAAAATGAGTCATTAATTTGCACAAAAACTAAAATGTTTTAAGGTGTTTCATAAAAGCACGTCCCGCCATTGTGTGATGTCACTGTCATATATTAATTCCGTCTGATTGCATTGTCCTTAGCTTATTTACAACTTATTTTGTAATTGATCATTAGATGACATTGTTCTTTTTTTATAGCCATATTTATATTTTCTACTCTATGCATCTGTGTTGTATATGACGAACAACATTTTCGCAAGTATACAAATATTTTAAATTTTGATTTAATTTTAAGGCAAAAGGCTCTTAACAACTTTGGTGAACAAATTATCATTATTAACTACTACACTTATCAACCGATTTTTATACATATACACAGTTACCTTTATATTCATATTTTATTTTGAAATTATAAAACTATATGTATATGAAGATGTCCAAAAATTATAAACACAAATAGTACCTCTGTAGAATCCCCATTCAACTCCATACTGTGCCTCTCGTTCTCAATCATCTTCCTCTTGTCCTCAAAGTCATTGAGCAAGTTCTCCCTTAGCTCTATTTTCTTCTCCTCAAACTCCTTAGCTGCTGCTTTCTTTTCTGCTGCATATTCTCTCTCCACAACATCAAACATATGATCTCTGGAAACAAAATATCATATTATATCTATTGAAATCGTTTAAATACATGATCAGATACGCACATTCATATAAAATTGATAATTTTCTTGAATTATTACTTCTATTTTATTCAATTTAGCATTGACAATACAAAAATTGACCATCAGGGCCTGTAGTTTCCACAGTGTTTGCGATCCCTAAATAACCCAATTTGATTGCTAACTCATAGTAATCGTTTCTTATTGACTACTGCAAGTCTTAACATTTAATTATGTTGTTATCGGTTAGGCAAGTGTTGAGTACAACTGTCAAAACATTAATGAGATTCATTTGTTTTTGGCAGTTGAACTTGGTTCATGAATGCAGCCTCTGGCACCAGGATGGGAGAATCTTTAATAAAAGATTTTGTGTTTATTTAAATATATTTTTTTAATATGTACATGCAAAAAGCTATTTCATTTAATGTTAAACTTGACTTGTTTTATTATGTAGGTTTTAGAAAAAATATTAAAGTAATTTACTTCATTTGTATTTTCTTTAGTGCTTTATGTTTATATGAATCAACCAATAAAATTAAATGACTTTGTCGTAACATACTTGTATATTTTATTAAGGCGAAGCCTCTCATGGAGTTGGTGTTCCAAGCGTTTCACTCTCCGTAGATACTCTGTGTGAATGCCATCTTCTAGTTGCTGCAACTGCTTTTTGAGGTTCACCAGTTTATCTTGGTACATCCTATTATAAAAAATGAATTTATTTAAAAATAAGTTCTGCTTGGAATTTATTTTATTTACAACTAAATAGGATTAGTGATCCTTACTTGAAACCTGTTTGTGACATTAAATTTTTATATTTTTTATATTGTTCCAATAGTATTACAATGACTATTTAAAGAAGTTAAATACTATAACCATGGAATTAGACATTTCTTCATTGGATAATGATATCTACCCTCAATGTATGAAGGTTTAAAATTAAGTGCTGTAAATGTAAGTTTACCTAAATTTACCAATAAAGGGTAAAATAACTGAAATATTGGTCTACAATATACATTAATGGGAGCAAAAATGTTTTGACATTACTGATAATTTGTGCTAAGCTATAGGTATAATATAATGAAAATAAACTAACTAATCATTCAATATTTCATAGAAATTTCTACATCATATGAAATTTCACAATAACCATAAGTGTTCAATAAATATATAACAATAAATTGAAGTAGATTTGAGTTGTTAAATGTGTGTTAAAAAATATATTTTTAATGCTTAATAATATAGTTTTATAAAAAATCTCCCTTAGCTCTATTTTCTTAAATAAATCTTATTAAAAAATCTAGTAGCTCAGTGGCGTAGTGGATAAGCGCTGCGGCCCGCGATCGTAGTCGTTAAGCAACTTTCGCAAGGGTCGGTCACGGGATGGGTGACCAAAAAATTATTATCTCGAGCTACTCTGTGCTTCGGAAGGCACATTAAGCCGTTGGTCACGGCTGCATTTGCAGTCGTTAATACCCTCCAATCCGCATTGGGCCAGCGTGGAGGGTCATGGCCCATCCTCCTTAACCATCCATAAGGAAGGCCTGAGCCCCTGCAGTGGGGACGTAAAAGGGCTGGTGATGTGATAAAAAATCTAAGAAATAGTTTGATTATTAACTTAAGAGATTATTGTGTAGAGTTATATGTACTACAGTGCAGCTTTCATTTAATACAAGAAACAATAAATTTACTAACTGTTCTTTAACTTCAAGGGGTTCATCATTTTTAGGAACATCTGTTTCACTGGCTTCTTCTGTATCTGGAATTAAAGTAAGAGATTATACAATAATATGAACAAAGTAACAAGACATGAAAATAGTGTTGTTATCCTAAATATACAGAAAAAACAAGGTGAAAGTGTCCCACATATTTTAAATTACGTCACCAATCAAGTTGGAGTTGAAATAGGCGGGAAACAATAGCACCAAATAAATATAACCTAAACACAATTGCATAAGATTTGTTTATCAACTTATACACTTATGTGACATCGAAGTATGAATGTTATACCGATAATAACCGAAAAGCCAAGCCAAAACAGCTTTAAAAACCAACATCGTAAACATAACTTACCTTCGTCACTGTCGTCAATTGGAGGTGGTGGAAGAGCGTCTTCTTGTTCCCTATACTCGTCCAAGTCGTCGTATCCATCGTCTTCGAAGTCATAATCATCTCCTGGCCCCGAATATGGTGATCCTTGGTAAGACATCGTCGAGGCAACGCGTAACAGTTGCATACAGATTGACTGAAATCACTCGATCAGACGCAAATCTTTGACAAACTAGAAATAGCCAAGATAGCGAGTAACAAATAGCAAATGCTAGTTGTGTCACTCATAAAATATCTTTTTATGAAATTACTTTCTTAGAACATCGAAATCAGAAAAGCTAAAGCTGTTTTACGTCAAACTGGACAAAAAGCATCATATTACCCAACTTATTTCAAAAAAAAGTAATTTTCATTGCAGCAGCGATAGCGATAGTGAATTATGCTATGTCAAAAAGAGAGAATAGATTATTGACATAGTAAAAATACTTTATAATTTATACGTATAACTTCATAGACAATATAGAGTACACTAGATATAAGTAAATAGACACATATTAATTGATTATTCAATGGAAACAAAATTACTTTTTAACATTCATTTAATGTATCTTATTATTAAGTCTAATATTTTTAGTAAAAATATATGTAGTGCTAAGTCTTTTGTGAGTATGGTATTTTAATAAATTGTAAATGACAGTTGCATTTTGGCAATTGTTGAAAGTTGATTTATTTATTTTTCTGAATTAGAAATTATTATACCTAAGACTGATATTCTTATTTTAATGAATATAGTTTTTTTTTTAAGTAAATAAATGTGCTGACTTAACCATTCACACCAGCTAGATCCTGTAATGCACTTGCCATTATTGTGTTAAGGCATTATACCTATTTTTTTTTTATTCAATGCACCACAACAATTTGTTTATTTCTGGACCTCAATAATACATTCCACTATTTAATGCCCGTATATTTGATATAAAATGTTCTATTGAAGCCCCTAATTAATTTAATTGTTACTTATTTGATTCAGATTAATAAAGTTCATTGTTCAACAATGTATGTACAAATTCAATTCAACTGATCAATTCCAGAAGGGTCTGCGTTTTATTATTTTGAATTTTCATATAAAATGTGAAGAAATTTTTACCCCAACCTATAATTTTTAAAGCTACTATTCTTACTATCTTTAAGATAAGTTGGAAAGAAAGCATTGAAAACTATATGTATAGTATATATGTTACTGCAAAGGTGAGTGTGAACATAAACTTAAGATTAGTCGGTTAAATTTAGGTATGTCTATCTTTAGCCGGCTAAACTTAAGTGTCTATCTTTAGCCGACTAAACTTAAGTGTAATTTTTAAAAATGTAGAAAGTAATGGAAAAGAAAACAATGTAATAATATTTACTATTTTGACATGAAAACTTTTATGAAAAAATAATTACTCTCATTACACATACTTTTATGTAACTATGTAGGTATTCAAAATTACAATTACAAAATAATAATTACTTTGTAACGGTGCCGTACCACCATTTATTTCGTCCTAAGTTTCAACATGCAAACTTTTTTCTTTGATGTTCAACATCATTTCTTTTTATTCACCTTTCGTAATTTGAAATTTTGATTAATGAAATATGCTCTTTATGAATGTCAGTTTGTAATAAATTCTTCTGTTGTGAACATATTTAAAATCGTATAGATTTAAATATAAATATTATAATAATGTAGATATGTGATCAAAATAGAAATTATAAATGACGAAGACTGGGTAAAAAAAAAGAATTTCTATTTAGTCCGTCAGTCAGATAATAGAAAAATATTAGATACGTCTTTTTTTTCTTCAATTAGAACAAGAAATGGCTTAGTTATAAGCATTAAAGTTGAGGAGTGGAGGCTCGCTACGTCACGGTTTTGTAGAAAATGTACCATGGCGTGACGTTATGCAACACTTCAACTCAATGTATTGCCGTTATTAATTGAATACTCGAAAAATAAAAAAATAAATATCCTGTAATTGCGTTCAAGTTATTATTAAGAAACCGAAAAAGGGTTTTTTATTCTTTATCCATTATTACCACAAAATAAATCAGTCAAATGTTTTCATTAATTCGCCCAAGCATCGAACCCGTCACAACTTAAAACAATTCTACTTAATCATTAAAATAAAATGATAAGGAACCATTATTATAAAATAAAACTTCTTCAGTCTTAATTATTTAAAACAAAGCCCCCTCAAGCCTTCTGCCGGTCCGCGTCCATCGAATACATTATTAACCGTTTTGTTTCGGTTAATGTGCACATTAATCGGTTACAGATGGAATATCACGACGGAAACTAACATGATATCGAACTTTAGCTGCTTCTCGAAACTAAACCTAGGTTTAGCCGGCTAATTTTAAGTTTATATTCAAACCGTTCTTTAGCCGTAACATGTATATTCAAAATTTAAAGGAGTTTTCTTAAGCTTCGAAAGGTAATAAAATTAATTGAAATAATTACAACCACCTAGAAATGAAAGTGCTTACACACCAGACGCAATAAGCGAAATGTGCTATGTGGATAGGCCCATCCAAAGAAAGAATATCATCGTTAAATCGATTTCCGATGCATTCCCAATAAAAAACCATATCGACCGGATTGGTTACAGACGTTGGCAAACTTACATAAGGCAAATCAATCACTCTAAGTACATGTTTGGATTTACGAAAAACTGCTTGTTGAAATTTGACAAGGGTGAAAACGCGGCAACGTCAATAATTATAAAGGAGAATTTATTTAGTAATCAATTGAAAGTTCAAATACGAGTACATTCCTAGTTAATGTATTTTTGATTTGTCTTGCTTGTCTATTATTGTAATTTGACGTCACGAAAGCGGACGTCATCTTTATTGAATGAAAATTTTATTTTATTTATTTTGTTGTTTAAAATTAAATACCGACGTTTATAGAGCTGATGTCAAATATCATTTAATTACAAAGAAAGTTTCTGTGTTGTGTTGCTATTATATATAATGTTGAATTCAAGTTTATTGTGTATGTGACGCTATACGCTTTTGTGTCGGTGATGTAATTTAGGTGATTGGGTGGCTTCCTAGACCTAATTTCTACAATGGAGGAATCCTCATTCACCATACCAGCCGAAGACAATGGTGATACTGAGCTCGACCCTAGAATACAGGTCAGTGAGTGACAAAATCATGTATTGAATAACTGTATCGGTAATTATTTGTAACTGCAAAAATGAGTGTCAACTTTGTCGATTATTTCGCCAACGAGCACAATGGATACGATATTTTGTACCAAAATATGAAATACGGACTGATTGCTAGCAAAGAACTTTCAGAGTACCTCAGAGAGAGATCCAATATAGAAGAATCCAATTCAAAGTTATTGACTAAATTAGCGAAACAAGCAAATAACAACTGTGCACAGGGTACCTTCGCTCCCTTCTGGGGAGTTCTCAAATGTTCCGCTGAGATTTTGTCTAATTTGCACCAAGATATGTTCCAAAAAGTCAGTGAGTTAGTAAAAGATGTAGCACGTTATGCAGAAGAATTACACAAGAAACATAAGGCTGTTAAAGACTCAGAGTCAAACACTTTAGAAGTAGTACTACTTATACAGAACACCAAGCAAGCATTACAAAAAGCTAAAGATGTTTATACATCAAAATCTGCCGAATTAGAGAAGCTTCGTAAAGATAATGCTTCTGCTAAAGACATTGAAAAGGCTGAAGTCAAATTGAAAAAAATACATGAAGACTATAGGCAACTAGCTGAGAAATACAATTTGGTAAAACAGGATTTTGAAAAAAAAATGACTCAAACATGTAAACATTTTCAGGATGTAGAGGAAGCTCATTTAAAACAGATGAAACAGTTTGTGAATGCATATGCAGATATTACTCAAAATAATCATGATCTTATAGGTCAAGTTCATAGGGACTTCAAGCATCAATGCTTAGAGCTTACTGTAGAAAAATTGTTAGAACAATTTCTGATAGAAAAATATACAGCCATAGAGAAAGCTAATTTGGTTGAACTACCTCCTTCACTGCCTAAGCCTGGTTCTGCTAACAATTCTATATCTGAAGCAGATCAAATATCCACAGTTTCTAATGGCTCACACAAACCATCACAGCCTGCTAAAGCCTCTAAAAAAGAACCGTCTTTTACTACAAAGACATCTAGGAGAACTACTTCCCTCCTTAATTTATTTACTCCAAATTTTCAAAGTAAGGATGAACCTAGTGGGAGTATTGAGGGTGCGGCACCTTGTTCAGCACCATCTAGCCCAAGCGGTACACCAGCTACTCCTGTTGCACCTGATAAGGATACCAACATGGGTCGAACTAATCTTCGTGAATCCAAGTGGTTCCTTCGGAGCAGAAGAACCAAGACTAAATTAAAAAAATCTAAAAAGAAAAAAGATGAGATATCAGAAAATTCCAATGCTGGTGATAAGTCTGATTTAGAAGAAAAAGAAGAAGAAGTCACTAAAGATGATCTGATGAATTCTCCAGATGTTGATGAGGAAGGGTATTGCATACGACCAAAAGATGAGAAAGGCAGTGTTTATTCTTCTTCCGATTCTGATTCTGATGAAGAAAGGGACAAAAAAATTCATGTAGAGATAAAGCCCATAAGTAATGGTGCTGGTCCAATATCAGCCAGTGTTGATGAATTGAGAGCAACAGTTGAAAATATTTCACTTTACAAAATTGGCACTACTAGGCGCGGTTCGAATGCCAATACTAGCAAAGCAAGCAGTGACTTATTAGATCTTAATTTCTTCCAAAGTCCAACCGCTAGCAATCCCACCTCACCTCATGGTAATGTTTCGAATCCTTATGCGCCTTTACAAGCGAATCAGTCTCATCTGTTAGAAAGCCCCACTCCAGTGTCGTCAGCCGACGTCGGCGATTTGTTCTCGGAAGTGGGCGAGATGGGACAACCGACAATAAGAACTTCTACACCTACCATGTCCACAATATCACTCCCACGACCGCCTTCGAGACGTTCTGAGGGCGACTTTCGAACTGCTGGCTCTTCTGGATCACGAGGTCCCTCCCCTCTTACTATAGGCATGGCAGATACCATACCTTTAGCTGTAGCATTTCATGAGATTATCCATTCCTATTTCCGTGGCACAGAGGAGTCCAAATGTCAAGTTAAGATGTCCGGAGATATGATGTTATCTTTCCCCACTGGCATTGTAGGAGTCCTAGCCAATAATCCCAATCCTGCAAAGCTCTGTTTCAGACTTAAGAACATACATAGGCTGGATAATGTGCTACCGAATAAGCAATTAATATCAATTAACACAATGATGTCAACACGAGACTCTACCGTACTAGAGTTTAATATGCCCGCCCTGACGTCTCTATTAAAGCGACAATCAGAAAAGAATCCGACTGCACAATATTTCAATGTTGATATATTGAAATACCAAATTCGTCCGAAAGGCGGTGCGGCATCGTGTCCATTCCAATTGGTGGCTTATTGGAAATGTGAACGTGATCACACGGATTTGAAGGTCGATTACAAATATAACCTGCACGCTATGAGCCCTCCATCGCCGCTGCTCAATGTGTCAGTTTGCGTACCCATGGGTGGAGCAGTCAAGAACGTTATTGCGATGCCGCAAAACACATGGAACTCTGATAACGATCATGCCCTCTGGAGGTTCACTGAGCTTTCGCAACACTCTGAGGACAGGGGAGTAGGCTCGTTACGGGCACGTTTCGAGCTGGCGCAGGGCCCCTCGAGTAAGAGCACCATATCTGCGCAATTCAACTGCGAGGGCGCCACGCTCTCGGGCATCGAGTTTGAGCTTATCGGGAGTGGATACCGCCTGTCTCTTGTTAAAAGACGCTTCGTTTCCGGTAAATACATTTGTGATAGTGAGCTACACTGATCGGTCCAATACCTTATGAATCCATGTATCTGTAGATATACCTGCTGTCATAAATTAAGGCGTGTATACAATACTGTTCGTAGAATCGTATAATTTATATCTTAATGTTTCAATGAAATGTCTTTGGTACCTTATAGGACTGTTTCCTGTCCACAAAATTAGGTTTTGTTGCAATGTGTCACAGCTTAAGTTTGTCTTATTTCTTATTAGGTAAGTTAAATATAATGATTAGATTTATTCACGATGTTATATTTCCAAATAGGAAAGTGCCATTTACATAATGTTTTCATGCAACCCCTAAGTATGTACGTACAGAGCCGCATTAACCTGTATGTTATTTATTAACATTCAAAGGAACATCACATTGTTAAAATCATTAATGAGTACCTTCACTTACTGCGATTTCGTTAAAATTAACAAATTACTTAATTCTATTCAATTTTCACTTAAAATTAGCTGTTGATTGCAAGTGTTAGTTAATTTACGAGGTGTTGCACTATCCTCGACGATTGGTATTTTTAGAGATACAAAAAGTACCAACCAAATTGTAAATCGCGCTCACATAGTTCGGTATTCGCGTGATCAAATTTTGGTCACGAACACATATAACGACTTTGAAGTAAGGCCCTTCTCACATGGAGCTGCTCAAAAGTGACTTGACTATTCAGTAATTAAATTACAAAGCAGTAAGAAACTACACACGATAACAAGTTGAGCAGCAACTTGCAAGTTTACAGTTGTAAACACACTGAACAGGAGCCTGGGTAATTGCGTCGGGTGTAATCGTTCGTAATTTGATTTTCTAGCTAATTCTTTTTAAATAGCTCCGTGTGTGGAGAGCCTAAAAGGGAGATTAACTATCGTATATCCAATATGCAGGTTTAGGTCCTAATATTAAAAGCTTTCACTAATATTTCAAATCTCAATGATATCATAAAAAATTATCAAGGAAAGAGTTCAGGAAATGTCACTTGAGCATTTAAAAAATTCCATCCAGACATTCAAAACTATCTCTTTACAAAAATAAACTACATTTTACTAGGACAGTTGTTCTCTGGGACCCTTGCCATTAACGCAATACTTGTCCCTCCATCAACAAACCACCTAGTGCTCCAACACATTTAGTTGTGTCTCGCTTTAAAAACTGCTGTTGCCTCGCATTTAAGGCACAGTACATATTCGCGTCACAATTTTAGCTGTTGGTAAAAATAAAACTTACTTTACTTATAATAAGTACTTTTATCTTTTTTGTTGATCACTTTAGGGGCCTAAGTAAGAGGTACAATAATATTAACATCACACATATATTTAAGGCCTGACTAACATTTTCTAAGGCACTTATTAATATAAATTTATTTTCTATTGGGATTTCAAGAATTAATGATAAATTCAAATGAATCTCTGAAATGAGTTAGATTTTGATTTCAGAATTGAGAATTATTCACTTTTATTTTATTCATTTTATATATAAACTGTGCATTTAGAGGTATTATTATGGAAAACATAAAATAATGTTTATCACTAATAATTTGAATTTCATTATTAATTTTAACCAACTTTTGTAACAAAGGTCTCAATTCTGTTGCACTTTCTTGTTAATAAAATTAGGAATAAAGTTTTTTTTTTTATATTTATAAAATAGATAGTTCATACCACACATGAATAGGCTGACAATTGATGAACGACATTTCTGTCTCTATAAATTCGGTACTCATAATCAAAAGCATGCAATAACAGGATCTTTTAAATGAAATAAAAAAGAAGATATTTTCATTTAATATGCAATTACTAATTTTACAAAATTTTCGATGAATTGTAGTGTATCTTAAATTTAAAAAAGTGAAAGGGATGTATTATTTTAATTTTTAAAAGTGAAATGTGTGCAAGAGTGTTGAGCCCTTGTTATTTTTATTTTTACTCATTAGTAATCTCATATTTTAATATTATAGTTATTATTGTGCTATGTATATTTAGAGCTAAAAATTCCTCACAGCCCAACGGCCTAATTTATTAAAATTCCTACCCTTTTATATAAGTATAATAGTTAACTTTACCAAAAGTGAAGTGTTCATAAAATAACAATTTATTATTAAAAATAATGTAAACAGTGTCGACCATTCCAGTTATAAAATGTTTGTTTTTATTCATTAGTAGTTGTATTAAAATTAAGTTTTTTTTAATAATTATTATTATTATTTTGGCTTGTTTATACATATATTGATTAAAATTATTATTGATAATTAAAGGTGCAAAATTTTCGATATTTATAAATATTATGTATCATTTGATTGTTTATAAATTCACTGTATTATTAAGAAAAATCAAAATATTATAAAACTATAACTGAAATTCTTAATAAATAATAAAAAAGTATTTTTGTATTGTAAAATTTATGGCATGTATGATTCTAACTATATGTATACTGTACTCATAAATTCATTGTAATTCAAAATAAAATGTAATTTTAGCATTTTTATAAGATGTTTCTCTTGGACCTTTGTTTTCGATTAAACACAAAAGACTGAATTTAAGTAAGTAATATTTTTTTAGTAGTTGCTTGATAGGGCGTGTACTCGTTTACCCGTATTGTTTAGTTATCTTTATTATTTTAGCATACGACGGGTGAATCTGTCCACGCCTTTATAGGGACAGGAAACAATCATATTTAGGCCTCGTTCACAATGAATAGATTTAAGTTAAACCTCTTATAAAATTTCTTTCGATAAGTAATTATCGGTATGTCGTAATTATATAATGCTAGTTTATCATTCATAGTTTCCACAAATGGCAAATGATTTATTTTTTAATGTAAGTGACGCAATGCCCTGCTATTTTATCGCACGTTTATAATAAACGGTCAGTGCGAATGAGGCCTAAGGTACGATTAGATAGTGTTCGATTGTGTGGTGAAGGCGATCGTGTAGTTGTGATAAGATGCGCGTGCGCTGATGTTTCCCGTCCCTACGTGTTGCTTGATGGTGGCGTACGCGCGGGGGAGCGCGGCGCGGGTACCATGCGACTGTCTAAAGTACTTCAAAACGTTTCAGGTGGAATTGGAGAAACTAAACGCGGCCACTGATGAGATCAACAAGCTGGAGCTAGAACTTGATGTGAGTTGTTCATTACTATAATAATACCCGTGATAAAACCTACATAGATTAGTAACGTATTAGGCAACATTCACATTGGTGTCATCTTTGCTTCACATTGCCGGAGTTCCAAAAGTTTGCTCAGCTTTTTTTATTTGGTGTTTTTATCTACATTGATATGTCACCTGTACGTACCTTATACAGAATTATCTGGGGACAAGTTTGGGAGCTATTCCCTATGAATGAATAGAAGTAGGTGTAATCCACTACATTGGTCGATTGAGTACTGGTGGTTAATGACTACGGATGCAGCGGGAACAATGCCTTAAGGTGACTTCTGAAGCACATAGTTGCAGCTCCTCAAACGTAGGACATTATTTACCATAAGAAATTTTATGCAAAATAATTAGGTAAAAGTTTGGTGTTAGGAGTTGGAGTTTGGTAAATTGGTAAAGCTTTTTAGTCAAACTTAAAGTAGTTCAGTAATCTACTGAGAAGAACCGACAAGAAACTCGGCAAAGGCAATTTTTTTTTCTCCGTTTGTTTATGTTTAGAAAAGTTCAATTAGAAAATCACTTTATCAGCCTATGAAGTCACTTTACATTCCAATGAAAATAAAGGGGATATATACGAATTTATATACTAATATTATAAAGAAGAAAGATTTGATTATTTGTTAAATCGACTAGGCTCTGAAACTTTTGGGCTGATTTTAAAAATCCTTTAACCTATGGGAAACCACAACATACAGCTAGTTTTTCATAAGATTAAAAAACGTATATCGACAATCTAAGAGGGAGGCTTAGTACGTGTGACTTACTCGCTTAATAATGTTAATTAAATTACACAATGCCTCTTAATTAATCAAATCAAATCGTTCGTTGCAAATTGTGGTGGAAGGCTTGAGGAATGCGATCTCTCTGCTGTATGTTTATTTATACAGTTTCGCGCATTTACAAGGCGTCTGTTGACGTTAATTAAAATAACTGTTCACGTGATAATTATTTATCTAATAAACATAAGGTGCGTTACCTTTAGGATAGAGTAACCAACCGTCCTGTTTTTTCGAGATTTTGTGGTGTCCTGGAATGTCCTGGATAGTTTGTAACCTGCAGAGTAGGTTTTTAAGCAGCGTCTTCGGGTTTTTAAATTGCCTCCTGGTGCCTTAAATTAGGTCAGTTATTATGACTTGGGAATTACTGTTTTCTGTTTTTTAATTAAATTGTCTTGGATTTCCTTTAGATCCTAGTTTTTAGTTAAGATTGGCATCATACTTTAGGCCATAAGCTCCAAAGGCCCATAAGCTAAAATATCGATATAAATGCCTTTAGCAAAACCTTTGGCAAAAAATATATAATACACTTCTTCAGAATATGACTGTTTACAATGCAATGATTATGCACTAAACTATTAGTTATTTTTATAACTTTTCACTATTTTCCACCATAGATAGAACCTATTCCATTTTAACCCTATTTAAGAGCATAGCTACTTTTTAAAATATCACCAAATTGATAATAAAACTCTCATTTCCAGGGCGAAGTCGCGGATAAAAGTTAGTCCGACTATTTCTTTCTTTTGCTGTGCCCCATAAAGCATCCAATCCCCTTGTATCATTGTCTGTTTTGTAAAGGCCCACTGATCAGTTATCCTACTAATATTATAAATGTGAAAGTTTCTTTGTTAAGATGTTTTGATGTTTGTCGGTCAATCACGCCGAAACTACTGAACGGATTTTGATGAAATTTGGTATACAGATAGACTTTATGCAAAAAATACAGCGCATTCTATTCGATTGTGAAATGTTCTCTAATCACATATTTCTTATACATGAATTATAGTTTTCTTACCTAATAACTTCATGGTTAGAGTGTGTACTCTATTGATCGTTACGTAAACATAATATGCACTGCATAAGGCAATTGCTACTATGTATTAAGTCCAGCGGCTTATCCGTGTGTGATTATCTTTTTTAGGTCACCCTATGAAGCACTTGAATTGCTATTCAGCTTTAAATATAAAGGCGCTCGTTCATACCACAGTGAAACATATTTATTAACAGCTGATACACAAAGTTCTTATGTATTCAACCATAAATATATAACTGAATTAGACTCGAATATGAACAATGTGAAATAGGCTTTAGATGAGTATCTTCTATAGTATCTCATAAATATATTATTAAGTTCTAAACCGACTCATTTATATGTACCTTATACCTATTCTATATCCTAAAGAGATTGATAAATTTAAAAGAATATATTAATTTATTTTGGTAACGATATGATCGGTTTACACATACTTAACTGTCGTGTAATGTCGTTACTTTTGATAAAGAGCAGGGGGCCAAAAGGGATGATGACTGGGTAAAAAAAATGCATTCTATTTAGTCCGTCAGTCAGATAATAGAAAAACATTAGATACGTATTTTTTTTTTACTTCAATTTAACAAGAAATAGCTTAGATAACAGGGCATTAAAGTTGAGGAGTGGGGGCTCGCTACGTCACAGTTGAGTAGAAAACGTATTCTAACGTGGCGTCATGCGAAATTTCAACTCAATGTAACGCCGTAATTTTATGATTACGAAAAAAATAAAAAAATACGTATTTAATATTTTTTAACACTCTATCTGACGGACAAACAAACAAAAATCAGTCATCATCCCTATTCTACTAAATAAATTTTGTTTAAATCGAATCGAAAACGGATCGAAACCGAACGAAACTACAGTTTTTAATGGTTTTCCTATTCTACAAAGTGACATACGATACAATTCCAGTTCTATTTTAGCTGGAATTGTATCGTATGTCACTTGGTAGAATAGGAAAACCATTAAAAACTGTAGTTTCTTTCATTTTTTTTGAAAGATTAAATATTTGTAAAATATTTCTTTTGACTGATTGCGTGGATTGCGAACATTGATAAGAAAGAATGAGCTCAGTAGTAGAAAAAAGTAACAAGTGCTTGAAAGATTCTTCAGTCCTGTTAGGTCCTGGGTAGCTCAAAGAAAGGCTATGGGTTCGAATCCCATCTCAGGGTGCCAGGGCCCAAGTGAATTTATAAATGTTTAATTTTCATTTAAATATAATAATTTCGTCATAACTAAGAAATAATCATCTTCAATAACTTTTTTGACACTAAAGTTGGGCTTTTAAATTCCATTGGGGTCAAGGGTGGCAGTGCAGTTTTTTTATTAAAACTAGCTAACAAATAGGTATTATATTATTATAATATCTCAAATTATACTTTTTAAGATGCGCGTTATATGCTGACAGGTCACGTAACAAAGCGAGATAGCACATTACATTGTAGTAACGGCCCGCTTCGACTGTCACAATTGAATCGCGTAAAACAGAACTCATAGAGGCCCCCAGATTGATGGTAGAGAAGATTCAAGCGTCATGGATAAAAATAGCAATCATTGTATTATTTAACTCGTTTAATAGTAGGTATATCGTGTTACTACAGGTTATGTGTATGTATATACATATTCCGTGCGAGCTTTCCTCCATATGGGTTAAATAAAGCTCTGATCACACATGCAGCGGGAAAGCGGCTGGCGATAAATTTACTAACTGGAATAGTTTGCAAATGTTTTCTACGAGATAATGTTTTGCCTTTTTAATAATAATAATTTTACTGTCAAATGTTTTATGCTAATGAAAAGCATTAAAAATAACATATTTTCCAGCTACCTACTATGTTAGATTGGGTCCTGTATGAGCAGAGCGAAGTACAGCCCCTTTATTCTGTTATCATAGTAGAAAAACCGAAACAAATTCGCGAGACAAAACACGGGAGTTTGTCGTGATTAGTTTATGTAGTTATGTTTATCTATTTTGTTATGGGTTTTAATTCCCTTATTTATTTAATATCTCCACCTCAATTGAGCACACTACCACCTTTTATCTCCACATCACTTATCTGATTGACTGGTATGCGTAAGGCAAAAAGTCCGCCAACGTAATATGTAGATGAAGTGATAAATAAATACATATAATATAGTTTTTGTTTCCGTTTCTGCTCAAAGTTTATTTTGACTTCTGGCTCTGTTTTTGCTTCGGTTGAGTAACTTTCATTACATCACTAGATCAAACAAAGGACTCGGTCATATTGTTTCGTAGCTTAGTTTTCATATCTTCGTAGCATGCCATCGTAGTACTCTTTTATCTCTGACGAGTGATTTTATATTTACGAGGGTCAAACTGAAAGTTCTTAGAACTGGCCACTTATAAACAATATAATAAAAAAATAATTCTAAAATTTGAAAATATAACTCTTTGCCAATATTACTGAGTATATATTTCATTCATTTGTCATTTGTTTTACGATTTGGCGGCAAATTGAAAATTGTCTGTGTCACGTCATCATGAATTTAACACGAGAAAATTTTCGTGCAATGATTTTTTATGACTTTCGATGTCATTTAAGTCAACAAGAAAGTTATGATAGACTACGATTGGCCTTTCACGATGAAGCCCCATCTCGTGCGACTGTTTACAACTGGTTTAATGAGTTTAAACGTGGTCGCACTAATCTCACTGATGATTTACGTGAGGGACGGCCTTCTACGGCGACGACTGAAGATAACATCTGTGTCGTGCGGCGTATGATAGAGACTGACAAAAGAGTGACCTATCAACAGATTCGGACAAGCTTAGGCATCGGTATGAGTCAAGTGCACAAAATCCTCCACGAACATTTAGCGGTCAGGAAGCTTTGTGCCCGGTGGATACCTCATAATTTGACTGAGGCTCAAAAACTCCATCGTGTGGATTGGTGTCGTAAAATGATTGAAAGATTTAACGGAGGTGACTCAAATGCTGTGTTCGACATACTAACAGGTGACGAAAGCTGGATTTACTGTTATGATCCTAAAACCAAAAGACAATCTGCTCAGTGGGTGTTTCCTTTCGAGGAGTTGCAAACTAAAGTGAAGAGAGATCGAAGTGCGGGAAAAAAAATGGTGGCCTCGTTCTTTGGAAGGATAGGTCATTTTGCAACAATTGTGTTAGAGGAT